CCTTCCTTCGCCGCCTGCGAAGTGTCACTGGCCTATTTTTAGCCCCAGTGCCATGCGTTCGCGCTGGCGGCGCCTGCTCTCTCCATGATGCAGCAGTTTGTGCTAAATATACCCGCCCCGGCGACTCAGCACCCAGGAATAGCTGGGGGGGGGGGACAGATGCTGGGGGCTACACCCCAGCCATGCCCCCCTTCCCTGTGCCCGCCAGCACCCCAAGTGCTGGGGATGCACCCCAGGATGCGGGCGCTGCTGCCGCCGCCGTCCCCTTGCCACCCTCCCTGCAGCCTGAGCTGGGATTAACGATGAGGTTAATTGGCTTCGAGGGCCTCAGCCGCTTAGCGCTCACCCGTGGGGTGATCCCTGCTGCCCCACTCTCCCTCCATCCCCCCCCCCAGGTGTGGCAGATCCCCGATTACGTCCCCGTGCGCAACATCACGGAGCCGGTGGTGACGCTGGAGGGACACTCCAAGAGGGTGGGCATCATCTCGTGGCACCCCACCGCCCGCAACGTCCTGCTCAGCGCAGGTAAGGGGGTCCCGGGTCACCCTCCCTGGGGGGTGGAGGGGGTTCCGTGGGGTGACGGGTGTCCTCCCCGATGGTCCTCCACAGGCTGTGACAACCTGGTGATCCTCTGGAACGTGGGCACGGGGGAGATGCTGCTGGTGCTGGAGGACATGCACACCGACCTCATCTACAACGTGGGCTGGAACCGCAACGGCAGCCTCCTCGTCACCACCTGCAAGGACAAGAAGGTCCGCGTCATCGACCCCCGCAAGCAGGAGATCGTGGCGGTGAGTGTCCCCGCCGTGTCCCCCCACCATCCCACCATGGGGTTCCCCCCCCACTATCTCTGCCTGCCTGACCCTACTAACCCCCCCGCACCCGCGCGTCTCTGTCTTTGGTTTTAACCCGCTAACGGCCGGCGCAGGAGAAAGACAAACCCCACGACGGCGCCCGCCCCATCCGCGCCATCTTCATGGCTGATGGCAAGATCTTCACCACCGGCTTCAGCAAGATGAGTGAGCGGCAGCTGGGCCTCTGGGACCTGGTACGAGATGGTGGCTCCTGCCCAGCCAGCGCCGCCCCGGGGACACACCGGGTACCGGGGATGCTCAACCCCGGGGACACACCGGGTACCAGGGATGCTCTCCAGCAGCACGTGCACCCCCAGAGCCTCACACACTCCCCAGGAACAGGACTCAGCAGCCGTTTTGGAGGACAGATCCGGGCTCCCCATCACTTTCCCCCCTTTCCCCTGCCCCCTGCTGACTCTCTCTCCCCCCCCACCCCCCCCCCCCCC